GAGTACTGCGGTTTTCTTTTCTGGAGGTCTGGGAGTACTGCGGTTTTTTTTTTCCAGAGGTCTGGGAGTACCGCGGTTTTTTTCCTTACCTGTCCAACAGTTTTCATTCTGTTCAGTTAGATTTCATTGAAACAATGTACAAATCCAATCCTGGATTTCAGGCCCCTGAGTACTGCGGTTTTCAAAAACCACAGTACAAAACCATATGATTTGGAAGGTTTGGTCATTCCTGGCCCCTTCAATTTAAGTACCCAAAAGTTTCCCTGACCTCCAAAACATAGGGTTTTGTACTGCGGAATTTGAAAACCACAGTACTATTGGGGGTTTTCCTTGGACCTCCATTTGTACATCCTTTTGCTTGTTTCAGCTGAGGCTCCCATTGGACCACATATCCACTATGGAATCCAGCGCCTTGCCTTTCCCAATGTAGCGCTCGAGGTGCGGCCATAGGTAGTTCATCAGACAAGAAGTCTGGAGCAGTTCCACCATCCCAGCTTGATCTCGCATGGCCATTTTCTGAATCAGGGATCAGGGACATGTCTTTTCAATGATATTGTTCAAAGCAGGGAACCAATTTTCCAGGCCTTCTGTTTTGAAGTGCCATTTGGGCCAACCTTCTTGTCAAAGTCATTGGCGGCCCGTTGTGCCCAAAGGAGGACAGCGTCTTCCGATACAGTCTGACAGGGATTCATACAATGACCAAACAGTTGTTGATAAAGTTAAACCGTTTAACCCTTGCCTGGATTTCCTTCCATAGAGGATTCTCACCACATAGTTCAGTGCCAGGCACAAAATAGTCGCCCTCCAAGTTCTCCATGTTCATGGCTGGCACGGAATATGGTATTCAATTTAAAGCCAAACAGACAATACAAATAATATCAGAATAATGGATGTAGCCAGGCCTGCCAGCTCCGGTTTGGTGTTGTTGTACATTGTTTTCAACACATTCCACAACCCAGGAGGACATCGCAGCAAATTGTAGATCATGCGCTTGGTCGACTCGTTGATCTTCCATGACTTAGTTCAAAGGAATAAAAATGACAAAGTGATTTGTGTGCCAGCAGTTGATTGAGAATTAGAACTGTATTCAGCCAACAGGCTCGATTGTTGCCAACCCTTTTGTTGTAGTCCCCAACGCAGCTCCAAAGTGTTTCTCGGAGACTGACATGCTTTCCACCCGGGCTGTTCTGTCTGCACCTGACAGCCTCTTTGAAGAGGAGGAGCAGGTCTAAAGCTGATGGCTTTGTTTTCTCCGCCGTCCTGTTTGCAAGGCCTGGCAGCAATCAGTGTTCGCTTGGGTTCATTTGGACTTTGGACACTTGGTTGCAACTAAGGGAGGCGCAAAGAGATTCAAAGAGGAAGGTCTCAGGCTCCTCATGCTTGTGGAAATTGGCCCGGCAATAGCGGAAGGATGCAATCACCTTTGCCATAGGTTCATCCAAGTCATCCTCTGCACTCACCTGGTTTGTTCCAAAGATTTGCAAAACACTGCAAGTCAAAGACATGGTTCAATAATTGTTTGAAGGGATGGATCTAAGTTCATGGCCATCTTGCTGATCAATGCCAGGATTGTTTGGATTATCAGCGCTTTGCATTGTCCATCAACAAAGCCCACGGAGAAGGGTTCGATCTTGAAAGGGTCAGAGCCGTGGCCCAATCCAAACTTCACTTCAAATGCTTCCCTATGGCTTTCAAAGCCATGCTGTAAGAAGGACCCATAGTGAGCAAGAAATTGATGATTGGAGGGGAAGCGCCCACATTCACCATATTTGCTGTGCTCGGAAAAGTTGAACGCCCAAGGATCCAAGAGGAAATTCTTCTTGGTAGTGGCTGGAACTGATTGAATAGTGGATTGAAGAGCATCAACGTGCTTGTTCACGCAGCTCATAGCAAAGAGCCTGTTCATCTCCTGATTGAAAAGGGGTGAAGGAAAACAACTCTGTTGTCATTGCCACAGTTTCATCTTATCAAAGTAAAGTCACTCCAAGAAAGGTTGCTTCATTCTCATAGCCACCAAATTCTTTCCAAAGCCACTCGCCAATGTTCATTTTCGAAGCGATCTGGCCAGAATGAAAATACCCAATTCATGAATAGTATAATAAGTGCCACGCCTCATCAACGGCATCTATCACTTGCTTCTTGATAGACGTTGCCGGTGTTGTCTCCTTGGCTGATTAAGTGTCAAGAGTCAATGTGTTCCACTGCCATCTAATGCCAACTACAATAATGTCAGTTGTTTCCAAAGGTTTTTGTTGCCACTTGCCAAACAGTCACCTGTTTCACTTTGACCTCAATTCCCTTAGCATCGCCATCTTCCATCTTCACATGTGCCAGGCCCACTGGCTCTGCCATCATAGCGGTCATGACTCCGCAAACAGTTGAGCACAAATTGCTCTGAAACACAGTAAACAAAACTTTTAGCACAGCTCAAATGACCTGTGGATCAATGTAATGGAAATTGAACACTGGTATTATTGCATCAATGCATTCTATTACAATATGTACACGCACACTATTTTTCAATGATAGCGATGGAATCGAACCTTCATTGTGTGAATGGTATGGGGCATGGGGTTTCCCAGCACTATTGCTCCTCTTTGGAGGCCTGCCTGAGGCGCCAACAAAAAGTTTATCCTCTTGGCAGGCGTTCGCGGAAACGCTCTCACTCCTGCCAGCTGCTCCAGGTACCCAATTCCACGGCCATATATTTTGTAGTGTTCTCTCAAATACTGCGCGATCTCGAGAAGGACCTCCTTTCTTTGATCGTCCAAGTAAGTTGCCACTCCTTGTCACCACAGGTTTTAACAAAGAAGCTCCAGCGTTCCCAAGAAATTTGATGAATCTAAGACAAAGGTCCAGCCACTTCATTTCTGGCAATCTTGTGCAGGGCATCCAGGCAATCAGGGGCAGTTCTGCCCGGCCATACTACCAAGGAAGGTTGGGACATGTCACAATCGCTTACAAAGGCCTTCACCATCAAGAAGACGTCGTTGATGGAATCGCCCCCAAATCTTGGTGGAAGCTTGTTGGAAGCCTCCTGCAAAAGGTGCGCTGGCATACCTTGGAGTTGGCAAGAGATGGCAGGAGTCATGTGAGCAACCAGGTTTTGCAGAACAAACGCTGAGTATCCATTTTATTTAGATATGATGCAGTCTCTCCTGGCAAAAGTGAAGCTGTGGGGAATTTCCTTCATATCACCCAGCTTGCGCTTCCTATACGCGCCACTCAATGTTGAATAGCTCTCCAAGGTGTCTGTCCAATTGCGCACACTGGTGATATATACTGCCCGGAACTCTAGTCCACTCTTCTCGAAGTGTGCACATAGGTTATCATTCAGCCACCTGAGTAGCAATGTGTGCCTACAACTCTTTGCGATATGGGTCCTTGTGTCAGCTAAGGCTAGAACTTCACCAGGTCTGTTGGTACTTGCCTCAATATAATTTCACCCAAGACTCAATGACACACTTTAATGCACTCAGCAAATCACCAAGACTAGTTGCATGTTTTCATCTCCTTGCCGTATGATCTTGGATATCATTCCAAAGAACCCATCTTAGCAGCTGTGGCGGTGGCGCAATCACGCTGATGTATGGAATTCATTGTTGTTACCAAAAGGACTGAGGTAACGGCCGATGTCCTCATGGGTGTGCCCCACAACCAGGTGCTCATGAGACACGGTGCTAAAGCAGCGTGTCGTTGCCAAGTGGCAGCAATATCGCCCTAATATGGAGTTTCTATATTCCTCAGGCTGTTGGAAGTGGCCAGTGTTTATTAGCAATTACTCTTTGAATGTCTCATATTGTCTCTAATCCTGTCAAGTTGCTTTTGGAGTATTGTTTGTCCACATTTTAAGGTGCTGAGGCCAGGATCTTCCATCCCTTTGGCATTGATCAAAGGCAGAGTCAAGGGCCAAAGATAGGACCTCCAATGACCAATCGCTCCCTGTTGACTGTTCACTGTCAGTCAGGAATATGTAGATACCAATGGAATGGCATATCACACATGTAAGTTCCATTTCAGGTCGCTTACGAGTCTCTAGTGGTTTGGGCGTCCGGCCCATGGCAAACTTGGGTAGTCGGAACTTGCTGCGGTCCATACTGTCTGCAATTAAGCATAGGATATCTTTCTGAGTGGCTGCCCTCTGTTTTGTTTGTGCATAGACTTGGCGGTCAGCATAAACTCCTGAAAGATGTCTTTGATATTCATCAGCACGTTGGGCATGCACCTGTATGCTCTTTGCATTGCGAATGGCTGACTTCAGCCGGTGACACACCTCACACTGAGCATGTGTAGAAACACCTCGGAATTTGATCTTCTTGTTCCATCCACTCTGCCTCAGTGTTCTAAAAAAAGTAGAAGGGCTGGCAGCAGGTTTGCTCGCGGCATGGCATTCAGCCAAATACAGGCGAAACAAGTCTGAGTAGCAACCTGGTGGAAGATACCTGCGTGGCAAAGTTGATGGATCCACAGTGTGTGCGCCAATTGCTTTAGTGTCCAAAGAAGTTGCCATCAGTGCTCTGACCAACTTTTGCCTCCCTGTGTGAGAGTCTGCCAAGCTGTGATCTCTGGGATCAAAGTGCATCCTCACAATTGTCCACACGAGACTAGTATAACAAAGTGTGAGTTCATGAAACGTTGCTTGCAAGTTGCTCGTGCGGTAGGCATTCTGCTATTCCCCAATATGTCTTTTGCAAGAAGGCCAAGACCGATGCAGCAGCGGTAGCTTCACGGCATGAGCGTCCTAAGAGCATTGGGTTGTTTTGGGGAACCAACTTAACAAGTTCATGGTCCCAAATCTGGAATAGCCAAGGCTCCCATTGATCGCATATCTTGTCCTCTGAAGGAATATTTGGCCCTTATAACGCGATCTCGCCCAATGCCCAACAGCTGCAAGAAAGCCTCGCGGCACACCTGTACTCCTGACTTGTGCTTCAATGACACTGAATGAATTGTACATATTATGCACTTATACAACCTGCATGAACACCTGTCCTTGAATCAGCCATGTAGATCTTGTATTATTCTTTTGGGAGCTGCTTGAAGACCCACTGGACTCAGATTCATTTGAAGATGACTCATCATCAGACTCATCAGTCTCCATGCCATCCATGCCATCAATCGAACTTGTATTCTGTAGGCTCCAAAGCCTAGCTGCAGCAATTTGCGAGCGCACATCACCCACGTTCAGCAAAAACAAAATAGGAAAACTCAGTGAGTTAGTCAGCAAGCAGCAAAGAGTCTTGAGCTGCCTTTGTCAAGGACCAGAACGCTACGCAAAGTGACACCACCATGCTTAAGCTCAGCTTTCTTTTGCATTGCGCTTTGCAGCATGTCTTCTTCATAGCCAGCTGTATTCTTTCTTTGCTTTTGCCTTTTTGTTGGTAGACCGTGGGATTGCCTTAGGTTCTTTAGAATCAACAGAACTCAAACATTTCTTAGGTTTAGCCATTGGCCCCACTGCAAGGTATCAACAAATTAAAAACCTGTTATGGAGGACTTGGCACTATAATCATCCACATCCAGAGATTGAATCTGATTCCAGCAAAGATTCCGAAGCTCAGGAACGGTTCTTGGCTTCTTGCGGCTGGGGCTGGCGCTCTCTGAGCCATCAGAGTCTTGTGAAGATTCAGAGCTGCCTGGTTCACTATCATAGGAACCACTTTCATCAGGTGCATTGTAGCGGCAAAGCATGGCTGTGCAATGGCAAGTATTGGGTTGTTACTCTTCGCAAACCCTTTGTACTCCATGTATTTTTGGTCACTACATCCAATGTGAGGTGTTGTGAAGGTTTGGCACATGAATAAGAGTACAGAATATGTGGGAACAAATCGAGCTATCAGCTACAGCTTGCACTTGTGAACTATCTATCAACAAAAGAATGTTTGATGCAAAAGCAAAACAGTAGCTTTCCAGTCACGCTGAAAGTTTAGAACGTTTTTTTCCACTTCAGTGTGCATCACTGCGCGTCCAATACAGTCCCAGCCAAGGCATTCCACTTTGGAAGGCTTACTGCGCTGAATGCCACCAGCCATCCAGCTGCTGCCGCTCGGCAAGACACGCTGTTTCCAGCCAAATCTTCAATTTCCTTAGATATCAACTCAAACAATCTTCAACTGCATGGTACTCAGCGGCTCTCGAGAAGAACCAAGGGTCTCGTGAGGTCATGTGTTTGAGAGAAAGCTTGTCGATGGGGAAGGACTGAAACACCATCTTCTCCACTTCTGCGGTCCAGGTTGGAAGTGATTAGTTTAACAACATGCTTGGAAACATAATTATAGGCCTGTCAAGAACCGTCTTTCCCCAAAGTGCCAGAACTCTCCTTAGCTGCAGCGCAAGTCCAGTAACATTGAGAAACCCCAACCATTGGTGGAATCCATTTCATCATGTTGGACTAAGAATCCTCTGGGCGTAATGCAGGGAACATGTTGGGTGTGCCCCATGCGCCCCAAAGATTGGGAGAGGTTTGCAATGCCGCTGTTGAATCCATTGGCCTCCATGATGGCCATTGCCTGAGTGCTTTCCAAGGAAGATGTGACACTGTGTGGCAGACCTTGCATAGCATAGCTGAATGCTGCCAAGCTGCATGGCGCTGACGCAGGGATGAAATGGTCATAGCCATCCACATCCAAGTCTTTTGGGTTGATCTGCGCACATCAATTTGATTTTGTAATCCAAACACAAACTCAGATTTAAGTTTAAGAAGAGCCTCCAAAACCTCCATTGCCCACCAGTGTTTCTTGGTCCAGCGAAGCCCATGTGGCAAGTGCCCTTTTGGCCTCAGGGTTGTTTGCTTCCAAAACTTAATCTAAAAATTGTTGATGTTGCACCCTGAAGTTTAAATTCATCTAATGAACTTGGAGATGCAATCCCAGGCTTTCTCTTTCTCAGAGTCTTGTTGCCGGAGATGTCGCCGAGCAGAAATATTCTCCTTGACCTCGTAGTGGTCTGGTGGGAACATCAGATGTGTCCTTAGGCAAGGCTAAGTCGTTCGGACCAGACTTTCTTCCAAACACAAACAGTGGTTGTTTCAACTTTCTTTTTATGACATGCCAGGAGGCGGGGGCACCTTGTTCTTGGGTTGTTTAAGTCCACCCAGAATCTTTTGACAGTGCTGTTGCAAGTCTTCATGCGTCGTCACACCTTGTATTGCCACAGACTTCTTGATGATTATTATGTAGACTCTTCTCCTTCTGGTGTAGTCCCCCAGCTCCAGTGGGTCGATGATCACCTTGCAGCACGTGGTCAAGCCAAAAAGAACAATTGATTGCAAGGTACATTGTGTGTATATGAATCAGAGTTGCCTTGGCCACCAAGTACCCATACTTCTCCAGCTTTTGCAAGGCTGCCCATGCCTGAAAAAGAACATATTTGGTTAACTTTGTTCTTTGGGGTGCCAAGTGGCCTTGCCTTGTCCCAAACACGTAGCAAACCAACCACATTCTCAAGCAAGGCAACGAGGGGATTGCACTTGGCTATTGTTGCCAGGGCCAAGAAGAAGATCCGTGCACTGGCTTCCTTCATATAGTTGGACTTGTTGTGAAGAGCACTGAACCTCAGGTTCAGTGCAAAAAACAACTAAGATGAACCATTCAACTTCACCCCATCAAGCTTGTTGCAGTCAAGTTGCGGCTGGCAAGGGAAACCGCATGAGTATGTGTTGATACGCTTCACCATCTCGTCAAGGTTTCTGCTATCCATACCAGGTTGAAGCCTGAACTGGGGAACCCATCTCAACAAGGATCATTGAGACCACTGGGAAATCATACACGCAGTACAAGCTGCATTGAGTTCTTTGGTAGGTTCTTGATCAAGAACTTCAGGGGTCCAATGGCTATATCACACCTTGGATGTGAGGACATGTGAGGGCAACCAGTCCTCACTTCTTGATAAATCTCAAGGGGCAAACAAGTTAATGCCTAGAAACGATGACACCAATCTTGTCTTATGTGGCACTAGCTCCTTGAGTGCCCACCAAAAGCCTTCAGCTCCACTGCAATCTGACATCAGGCTTATGGGGAACTTCATAGCGTCAAAGAAGTTGAGGAGCCCTCAAGGTCAGGAAGTGTTGGAACCGAGTAACACTCATGTTCATGCTGTTTGAAGACCCTGCCTGCTTGTTGGACCATGCCGTACCCCCATCCAGAGAGATACCGCTTCTGCGCATCTGTGAGGCTTGGCTCTGGCCGATGCTCTTCACTCCTGAGAGCTCGAGGGAAAAAAGTGGCAAATGTGTGGTCAGGAGGTTTGTAAAAGGGTGGAAGGAACCTAAGTATGCTTCCAAGATCTTCCAAGGTTCATTCTTTTGCGTGCTATCTTCAAAGGATAAGGCGCATCCAGACAGGAGTCTGAAGAGTGAGGAGATCCACCACCAGTGCTCATACTGTACTCCTCTTCACTGTCCACCGATGAGCTTTCAGTCCCTTCACCATATGAATAATATGAATCTGAACCTTGGACCCCAAGAATTACTCACTGATCATCTTCATTTCATAGTAACGAAGGACAATTATTTTATAAGCCCAGAAACTTCCATCTCTGCATGATCTACTTCGTGATCTCGGCATTGCTCGGCTGGGTGCTCTACCCCTTTGAGCCTTAACACTGAGTCCTGGTTAGGAATGGCAGAGGTCCTGCTTCGCATGGCTCAGTCTTTTAATTGGTACGGTACATTCCAGATCGGGGTGGGGACCCAAAAGTTGTGCAAAACATAAGAGTTGGACCCTTTTGGAAGTGATTTGTGTTTCAGGTTTGTTGACTCTTGACCCACAGCTATGTGGAGCGGTCGCCCAACTGTGCAAGACTTGTTATTCTGTTGATGTACCATTGCGATCGAAAGACTGCATCACTCCTGCATGAACTGATTTGCTTTCGCTTTTGCAGGGCTGGGTTTGACAATACCCTCGAAGCTTCACAAGAAACAAAGTTTCATTTTAGCCTTCCCAGGCTCTGCCTGGGAACACTCGCCAAAATATATCCCACCACATGGCTTGCACAGACACAACCCTTGACAGGAGCCAGCAAGTTCTGGTCCATGCTGCTGCGATGCACCTGGGATTGCACAGGTCACGCTGTCATGCTGGATTCCCACTGCAAGGAGCAAACAACGATTAGAACATCAGTTTGAGGCTGCGACTTGGAAGACACACCAACAGCCAACAACAGCCTTTTCCCAAACCACGATCACACGACCTCAATGCATGTGTTACCTTGTTTTTGCTTGGGGTCGCCCAGGTCATGCCAGTAAATTCGTCCTGGGCTGGTTCGTGGGCACCGTTCTCGTCATCATCCTTGCTCCTCGGCGGCCGACGCCCCGATCCCACGCGCGTAGCTCAAACAGAGAGACCTCCCATGTTCGATGCCTTGGAAGAAGGGAAATAGACGAAAAATGACTCACATACCCATTTGCCCACAAAGTCTCCCTATTAAAATGCACATCCAGATAGCATCCAGGATTGACGTTTTCATTGACCCCGTGGAAGGGGATGCCGCGGTAGATGGTTGATCAAATCCTGTGAAGAGGCTCTGAAGAGGTTTTACAATCCAAATGGAGGGGATGTACCACGGCTATCCTTTCTGGGTGTCCAATGGACTTCCCTACACTACTTAGAGATCTTCATTGGACACCGGAGCTGAAAGAGAACGCTATCATAGCCGCTGGCACCCTGTTCTCACAGTCAAGCTATGCCCTGTTCGCAGCATGCATTTCGGAATGCATTCGATGGGTGGATGATGGGTGGTTATCCCATGATATGTCTAAATTAAGCTAATCTTAAGGACACTACCCCACCGTTGTCCCTCCAAAAGCAACGCATTTTGAGATATTTTGAGACTCGTTGATGAACAAATGCAAAGATTTGAGTCCATGAAAGTGTGTTCTTTTCAATTCATGCATCTTTTTCTTTTTTGCATACACATCTTGGGCTTTTCAGACTCATTGACTTCAGAACCGTTGCCGCACACCAAACGCTCGGGGCGTTCGGCCCCATGGCCAGGAGCGAGGGAGCATCGGTCGTTTCCTAAGCCTCAGCCAAGGCTTAAGTCTTACTTCTTATGAAGTGAGGATATAGAAGATGTTTTTTCAGATGTAGACATCCGGAGGACCGGATTTCTACCAAGTCCCCTGAAAGGTCCCGACCTGTCCAAAGCTTAGGTTTGTCCCGACCCATGAGCAGCACCTTGAGCGGATTTGAGGTCTTGACCAGGACCCTCGAGTGGGAGCTGTTTGACCACATCGACCACCCGGCTGCTTGGTTTCGATGGCAGTCAGGATTGAAGAGGGTTTCATGTGGAGATAGATGGAGCATGGAAGATACCTTAGTTAGCTATGTTATGCAGCTGAATTTGGGATGTCACACATCACAAATTTGCCATGTTCTTCCAACTGATGACCGTCATTACTTTTGTGAGATCCATGTACTTGCTTTAGGGGAGCACCGCCAAGAGGAAGGATTTCATCGCCTCAGGGACGGAGAAGGCACACAAGAACCAGTTCCTTTGCCTCTGATGTATGTGCAGACTCGGGACTGTGCACCTACCAATAGCCTACCAACATGAAGCAAGCTAGCGGTGAAAGCTAGCGGTGAACTTCCAAAGAGCCGGTGTACACAGGAACTTTCCATAGGACTACAATTGGGGTCCTTCCACGTTTCGGGGGTGCCAACGGCGCATCACCCAACCGCCGCACAGATGCGAAGACCATCCGCCGTTGCCCTCTCCTTCCATCCGCGACCATCCGCGACCCACTGGCATTGCCCCGGGGGGGTTGAAGGGGGTAGGGTCTCAAACCATTGACCTGGTCGCCTCCGCTGGGCTGAGCTTGACCAGCGTGCTGGAGGGAACTCGCTTTTTGGGAACTCCCCGCGCCGCGCCGAGGTGCCGGAGGGCAAAAGCCCCAGTGACGTGTGCTTCCCCTGGGCCCCCTGGGTCACGGTGATCGGCCCCTCGGTGTGACCTTCTCGACGGGGAGGGAGACGGCGAGGCGGGGATCGCTTTGGGGACGCTTTTGGGCTCGAAGGTCCGCCTGATCCTGGAGACAGAGGAGCCTTGAAGAAAAGGAGTTGGCACCCGTGGCCAACATGATGTGCGAAGCTGACTGTTTTCCTGCACAATGCAGATGTTGATGGTTTTAGCTGTGTATGGGGGCCCACCAGGCAAAGTGAAAAAGGCTGTGTGTTTGTGTGTGTTGGGGTGTTTCATGGGGGCTTCCATTTTCGTGACCGTACTCTACACCCTGTGCGCAATTTTCTATTATTTGGAGGATAGTCACCGCAAAACTTCTGAGCCCAACCAATCTTTTGACAAACCTCCTGGACTGGAGTCAAGCTCGGGATGATTTTGTCGTTTTCGCAAGTAAGAGCTATCTGAATAAACCGCAGTGTGAGGGCCAAGCAAATTGACGATCCTGGAACGTCATGATCTATTAGTAAATTACTATCAGGATAATTTGCCAAGCTGTTGATCACCTGTTGTCAGATGATGCAAGCACTAGCCAGGATTCAGAAGCCTTTTGCCGACCCACAGCAGGTCATTCGGTTTTATTTTCAGCTTCCTCGCACCCTTCAGTACCCTTTACCCAGACACTCCATAAATATTTGCCTACAGTAATTCTGCCTAGATTGACAACTGATCGGCAAATCTGGCAGTCCCAGACAGGTCGTGATTGCGGTTTAAGAGCTTCCATGAGGACGAGCCAGGGGCCCTCGCAATCCGGAATCGAAGTTGCTTGAGGCTTTCTGGGCGGCATGATCAGCCTTTGCACCGCTCCCTATTTCAGCTGCGCTGGGTCCTCCCTTTGCTTCTTGGAGCCTTGCAATGAAGAGAGGGTAGGGTCACCTTGGTGTTGAGCTCGGTCCTAGATTTGGGGAGGAGAATCAGCAGCCCAAAGGAGTATTGTTGATGGGGGTGCCTTTTGGCAAGCTTTACAGATGGGACGAGTGCAGGAAGACTATACAATAGTCTTTTTGTGGCCTTGCAAACAGCACTCTAGGTTACTTGCAAGCCTAGGTTTTATTTGTTTGCAACACTCTAGCATATTTCAACGCTTCAGAACGCCTCATTTGGTCATCACGACGCGTACGCTGAACGTTGGTCATCACGACCTCAAGGGGTCAACCGGAGTCACGAGAAGCCCGTCTCATGATGGAATGGGAGCATGGGCGGTGATGGAATGGGAAGTCGAACAACTCACGATCAATTCCGTTTGGATTTAGTTTACGCGTTTTCTGGGTTCCGTTTGTCAAGGGAGCTTTATAGTCAAGACACCTGACTAAAGGTCATAGGCATAGGTGTTCAAATTGTGTTCAGCATTTTTTCAATTGTTTAGGCCTCTCTTCAAGAATGTTCGATCAAGGTTGTGTGTCACGCATTGCCTCTCGGATGGCTGGCGAGACGGCGAGAACAAACAAGTCTACCAATTCCTTACCCGCCTGGTCTTTCAGAGCCAACCTCGTCCACGGCGTGGCCGTCACGTTGACCCATCAGACAGTCTCTCACCCGTGGCTATCAGCTCGCAGGACATGGTTTGTATTGACCAAACGGACTCGGAGTTGAAGGAGCGTGGCGTTTATGGCATTGGAGGCTGGCTGTCCGTGAGTACAGAGCTGCGGATTCTGTGGAGCCCGCCCTATTTCTCGTGACTCGCCCGGAGAACAAGTGGCTGCGGCGTTGGGTTGGAACTGGAGACCAACATCGTGGGATGGGAAAGTATCACACACTGCTTGCTACATCTTACTAATTACCCTCTTCACTTTCAAGGTGTGAATCAGATTTATCAGAACATCAGGGGCTCAGTCCCAGGGCAAAAAAAAAACATGGGGAACCAATGGTGGGCAGCCCCATCTGCAGGTTTTGCATCCAGCATCACTTTAATCAAATCTCTAGTTTGAAGTTAGTCCTTCCAAGAAAGCCTCAAAGGAAAGCTTTGCTTTGGTCAGGCAATGCTGGAAGAGTAAAGTCGGTCAGACCAGCTGGTGAATCAATTCCAATTCTACATTGCTTTTTGGACCTCAAAGTGCTTTCCGCGCCGGATTCCGCGTTGCTGTTTTCAGAGCGGCTTGATCTGGGGGCTTGGCAGTTGGAGTTTAAAGACTCATGATCCTTAATATATGGTTGTGGCAGGAGGTGCCCCAGGTCATTATACGTCATCGTCCTCAAACCCACGTTTGTTGCCCAATCACCACGTGGACCGGACGTGGACCGTGCAGAAACCATCAGAACCACGGACTGAGCTGCTTTGAGCTGGGGAGCTGGTGAACGTCCACGTTTCTCAGCTGGTGAGGTTTCACGCCACACGGAACACCTATCATTGTCATGAAGTAGATCGAGGACGAAGAAGATTTGACCTTGTTAGTGAATATAGTGCTAGTGTTTTTTTGGGGATGGTTTTTGGACACGACTTGGACGAGCCCGCAAAAAAATCTTCCAACAGGTG